GTATGTCAAAGAATCTATATAAATTTTAAGTTTTAATTTTAGAATAAAGTATGCAATCAAAAATTCATCGAACCTGTAACCTCCCTTATATCTCGTTTCAGTCTCTTTGCTAACTAAGCTATCGTGTCCTTACTGTACTCGGTCAATACTAAGCATTATAATAATATTTAAACGTCATATAAGTACGGAGATATCATCTATTAGGGTCTCTTACGAAAATCCTTATCAGTATTTTCTAACATTACACTATAGAGGAAACATTGTTAAGATCCCACAGATATTAAATTCTCGTAATTATGTTTTGAACGTTGAAGTACCTATTAACCGTTATACTGAAGTGTCGAAAGCACTCACGAACTAGGTTTAAGGAGTATTCGTTGTACGTTAAGTTAATTAAAATCTATATTATAATTAACAGCTGTTTTAATAGTATTAGTTTTCTGTTTCACATTGAAACTGTGAAAGTCGTTCTATATATACATATAGATATATATAACTAAATATGTATTTATGTGTGTATAGATACGTTAACCAAGTGTTATATATAATAAACATAGTGTTCCTGATGTTATACAGGGTGACTGGTGAATTACAATCAATATTTAAGGAGAATACTCGGTACATGATTCTCATTCGAATTATGTAAAAAAAATAGGCACTTAATTTTTGACAAAATTTCCGTATAAATAAATAAAGTGTTGACACGTTCCAAGTGTTCCAAGTGTGGATGCGTGCGGCGACGTGCTGATACAACACCACGCCCCGCTCGCTTATGTGTGAGTGTGAGTGTATACCTAATCTGTAGGGTGTTCATACGATGCGTAATTAATTACATAACTTTTGGTTAACTTTACTTAAAAGTTTAATAATATTTATGTTATATTAATTTTTATTTTGTCATATATGATCGTCAAATATCACGTCCTCAAGTATCGATAGTAATTCACCAGTCACCCTGTATAGTCCAAGAGATCGATATCTTTGATTCTGTTTGAAGTTGTTATTTATTGGTTCCTGATCCTATTATGGTCTAGCAACAAATAGGTAACCAACATTGGATAGCTCTTAATACAGGTACCTCTGAGGGCCGAGAGTTGTTTATAGCGTCGTAAAGATGGACCCGCGTCTCCGATACAATTCACTATACGGTATTAAGATACAATTTATTTGTGAAAAGTATTTATTCTCTTTACGCGACCTCCCGACGCCGGGGCGGACTGTAAATACTTCACGGCTCGGAAGTGTGTACAGTAATTGATATGGTGCTGCGTTTTGTATAAAATACTTGATATTAAGAGATAAAAATGTAATTTTATTACTATATATCTACGTGTGTATGTCACTGCACTTCTAAATGGCTGGATAGATTTTGAATGATTTTTTTTGTATGCATTTCGCTGGCGCCCCAGATGGTTTAAATTTAAAAATCGGCCCTAGAGATGGTGCTGCAGACAGTATCTAGGTTATTCAAAATGAAGGCTGCTACGTACGTTCCTAGTTCCTACATGTATTATTTTAACACACTATATACACCTCTATCTGAAAACAACTCCGATATTCACGCAGACGGAGTCGCGGGCAAGAATTAATATATACATAATGGTTCTAAACTAAAGAACCAAACTCGTGCTGACTAAGAACGCTAGTGAAAGTTCGGCGGTAATCAAAAACGCATTAGTGGTAAACGTGGCGCCGATTTCGACGCGGGCGCATCCACACGGACAATTTGTAAAATTGAATATCAATATAATTTAAAATATTGCCATTATTTAGAAATCATTCGTATTGAGATTTTTTTTAATAGTTAAAAATGTTAAAGTTGAATGATTCGGATTTTATTTTACGTCGCAATTAAACTGTTAACTGGCTTGATTAAGTGTTTTAAGATTTATTGATTCATTAAACGATTGGGAAAATAAATGTCGCATACATTTTAACAACTATTATAAAGAAACTTGCCGGGAATAAACATGAACGTAAATTTTTTTAATGATATCAACTTTTTTTATAATTATTTACTAGATCGAATAGTAGGAAGAAAATAACTAGTGATAACGGGAATTGAGAAATTATTCTTATATGCTTTGTTATAACTCATATATAATATATTTAGACCCATTTGCGTTGAGATTATGTTTAAAATTGAATCAAAATAGATTTAAATAATCTGTGTTTCACGGAATGCCTTAAAATCTTAATTTAATGCACTCTGATTCACTGGGTTACGAAATGTGGCAATCGTTGATGACTAAAAAAGATGGAAGAATGAGTGTGGTACAAGTTAGGAATTGTAAGAAACTCTGTAGATACAAAGATTGAATTATTCTAAGTCATTAAAAGCTATCTTTCTAACAAAGTATATACTACAACGAAAATTATACTATCAAACTTAATATACTTAATTTACCGGTACAAAAAAACAAAACAAACTCAATATATGTAGAGCTGTTTTTCAATTTCTAAGACCTGTTTAAATGCTCCCTATCAATTAAAACTGTTTATATGTATATACTTTACAAATGAATTAACAAAATTCCACTTAAATAATGAATATAAAACTATGAAAATATGTTTAGGTAAAAAATTTATAATAAAATAAATCGATGTTTCGTACGCTACAAAATGAAATCATACGTCTAAAGCGTGACTCATACGCTATACGAAAGTATTGGAAGAAAAACGCCTTTCTTAATGTATCTTACGTAAAGGAGAGAAATCCGCTTCGATTCAGTTATAAGCCCGGAACAGATTGATAATATATTTAGAAAACTTATTTTATTCTAACAACTATTAATAGAAACGCTTTCTACTATAGTTGTGTATTATGTAATAATTAATTAAGTGTTCTGTAATAGTTACAAGTTTGACAATTGTAATATTCATGTCACTATTTTGTGTCAATAAAACTAGGACAGTCCCATGTGTGTCGTTTTGGTACACATTTTAATCTAGTATTCCCTGAATTGTGTGTTAATTTTGTTTTATATGAATATTATAATCAAATGACGGTTTAGAGAATTCGCACGCGTCCACACTTGGAACACTTGGAACGTGTCCACACTTTATTTATTTACACGGAAATTTGGTGAAAAATTAAGTACCTATTTTTTTACATAATTCGAATGAGAATCTTGTACCGAGTATTCTCCTTAAATATTGATAGTAATTCACCAGTCACCCTGTATACATATGTAGTGTTTGTAATATCAATAAATAATTTACCTGCGAATGTTTATAAAAGAATAATTCTTTAAATCAATATTACGATGTACCTATGTATTTTTTTTGTACTTAGTACTTTAAATACTGTACTCACTCGGACCATATGCATCAATTGTATTATAATTTATAATGTAAGCCACGGTTCAATTCGCGTTGTTATTAATGATGCGATGGTTACGCAACCAGCCGTCCGGTTAACCAACTTTCACCTAACACGAATTGGTTATGGGCCCGTAATAGCTATCAACTATGAACATTGAAAGCGAAAGAGAGAGTGGATTGTTGGAAACGAATATCCCAACCGAAGCAAAGCCTATAACCCCGAGGTTAATGCATAATACAACCTTTGTGGCGTAAAACTCTTTTGTCTACCACCTATTATTATCTGTGTAAATTGACATTAAGGTGTCTGAAGGTTGACAGTGTATATTGATTTGGATGTCTTAAACGAACAGATAAAAAATATTACATTAATATTATTATGTATCAAATGCACAATGTATTTGTGGATTTTATTTTATAACAATAATGACTGTAAATAAATTTTATTTTTATAAATTCGCTAATCATTGTGAGTAACGATAGCTAATATCTTCTTCCTGGCAATTTCCCAGCTTTAGCCAGGGTCTGCCACGATAACGTTAGCTAATATATAATTTTTAAACTCCTATATATGTAATCTAAATACGACGATTCTGAAATCAAAACAATATTAAATTTCTTATAAATCTATATAATATATTATATATAAATATTTTATAAATTATTATTTCCACTCAATTACGTTGTCGGCGTTTAAATATTATAATTTTATTTAAGCAATTATAAATCTATCAAGTAATATTTTTATTACATTAAAACCGCACCCGCTATTCTCACTTATTATTTATCAACAAGTATATAAAAATAATAATGACATCCGCATTATATAGCTATAAGGAAAGTTAGTCAACGAGAAGTCACAATGTTAGTTCGATCGATTTTAAACATTACACATACTATATGATAGAGGTTATTTTTGCATATTATTAATATATAACTTTTCATACGTTGTTATCGAGTGAGAGCTTGTGAGCCGAGTTCACTTTCCCCTGTCCTGTGATGCTAGTTTTCAAAGGTCTTCATGACGTTCATAGCATATGATAATTGTCATACAGTTCGATGCTATGAAAAGATTTCACTTTTATTAGGCTGCTATATTTTTTGTCATTAAATCGTACATAATAATGCTAACATAATAATAATAATATATTGTTGTTAATTTGATTATTTATTCATATAATTTATTAATTTTTTACCGTATTTTGTTTCAGGTAAGATATATATTATTCAAAGCTATGTTTTCAACAAAAATCGCCTTAATTAGTTCTTGGGTAAGTACATTTATTAATATCTAATGATTCGGAAACTAATATTCGATTAAACAATAGGGCAATTCGAAATATATAGTTCGTCGTACTAGTAGTTTATTATTTTTAAGCGCTACAAAAGTAAACAAGGTTTTAATAGCGGGGCGATCAGGGCTGTAAAGCTTTCCGTCGCAACTATGCCGGGCGATAGTAGCGTGGCGTCGCGGCACTCCCACTCGGCTATCGCGGCCGCAGCCGGATCGTACTCATTCACATCAGTCCACAGCCGGCGAGCGCGGCGGACGCACGCGACGACACCCGTGCATTCGATGTTAGTTTACGTCCACGACTTCGTGACGCTGAGCGTAATATTGCCGTGACATTGTGAATAAATATAGCGAATATGGGTTAAACGACCCTTCGGCCGAAATGAGTCCGGGCGAGCGCGCCGCCCTAGGGCGCCGCGAAGCCCCTCGCCCTCGCTACGCCGCTACCGCACCGGGATTCCCGCCACAATACTATCCGCCCTTCGGAGTACCACATCCTAACGCATGGCTCGGAGCACCCCTTATATCTATGGCGGGGCGTAATCCTCCTAGAGACAACCCCGTGTCCAAACTTGCTATGCATGCTCAGGGAGCGCCTCTCATCATCCACAATAGACACGACCGTAAGAAGTACACGACAATACCTGAACAAAGAAACCATCGTCCTACTGGACAGGATGTTCATGTTAGACATGACAGGTGTGACGTACCTGAAAACACGAGGCCGCGAAACCAAGCACAACAGCAGCAAGTACGACCCTCGCGGAACAACACACGCAACAATAATACGGATGCAGTCAGTGTCACCAGCGATGAAAGTTCTGGCTCTAATAATTCAGAGACAATGTTACCGAGAATAATTAAGCCCAGGAAACGACGTAAAAAAGATAGAAAACCCAATAACATAGTTCCACACGACTTGACATCAGCGGCGTTGGAACTCGGTGAAGTCGATCACTGTGTAACAAATATGGGGTCGGCATCTCACGGTATTTACGATGAATCCTATTGCAGAGATGTGACATTGCCGTATCGGTTACACGTAAAAGTATTAGACTACCCGGATCCCGTCCCGGAGACGTATAGGGTTACGGCTTTAGGTGAGGCTTTGGAGGCTACTCGTTTCGGCTTAGCTGAAGCAGCATCCCCTGCAGAATCAGCGGTCAGTTCCTGTCAATGTCGCTATTGCGATCCCGTCGGTCAGATCTGGGATGCGAATTCTCTCGCACATTTATTGGATGAAAATACGAGTGTTGATTTTGCACCGACAAAGCTAGAAGATTCGATGAAAGTTGTCGGACCGCTTGGAAAGCGCGGTGGTGATACTATGTTGAGACGAAGCTGGAGCGACCCTTCAGCGCGAGTTCCTGAAAGAAAAGCTAATAATAACGATACTTTATCGGCATCAAATCTTTATTCTCTGTTCCCTCTGCCAAGAAGATCTATTTCTTCAGAGCCTAAGTCCCCACTCGCTTTGGAGATATCTTCTGAGATCGTTACTTCCATGAACGGACATCGGGACTTGGAAATTAAGCTGTTTTCTACTTTGCCTCCAGCTTCGAGTTCGGATGATCTGTCATTCTTCGACGAAAAAAGTGAAAGTGCTACCAAGAGTAGAAGTGCTTACCCAAGCCCTGAGCTTAAATTGAACAGTGAAGTGAACTGTGAGAGAGTAGTATTAAGTGATAAAGGCGCTAAGAAGAGTGAAAATCTAGATCCAAGTTGTTTAAAAACAGTTGGGGTTAGCGAGAACTCGCGAAATATTTGTGATTTAGCCTTAGTATCTGCCTGAGGTCTCCGTTGACCAAACTTATTATTCGTTTGATTTGAAAGCGTAATATATAATGAGTCCAGGGGTCAAACGCTCGCCATTTGAGCCGGACTCAAATTGTCACAGCGAGGCATTCATGGAGCGTCTCAACGCGATCCAAAATAAATGAGATCTCCCAATCGGTTTCCTGTAGATTCTATAATAATTTATTTTTTAACAATAGATTAGTGAAACTCGGTTGGAACTGTATCTGGCTGTATTTATGATTAGTGATTCGCCGCTATATATGAGACATTGTGTCGTTCATTACCGGTTGGAGTCCTACGGGTGTCGGGTTCTTTCTAATTGCCAGCGCAGTTTGTGACCAGTCAATGATTCTTATAACAATAATTGTACAATATGGACTGGCTGCCTCGTGTGTAATTAGCGTTTCACACTACTGACACGGTTGCTCGATTGCGTGCTCTGTATTGCGGTTTCCCGTAGTTTTCACCGTCTGCGTTCCGGGTTGCGCCTCTCTAGCACCGGTTCATATCTTTAATGGCTTTTTTTTTATTTCCTCTCTCTGCTCACTTTTACCTTAACAGTTTTGTTTAACATAATAAATACATTTGAAATAATATTAAATTTTTTCTGACAATCCAATCTTGAAAATATTTTTTTTCTATTTATCAACGTAAAAACCAAACTAAAATAATGTGTGGTAGGTAAATACATGGCCCATAAAGTCGTTTAAGTAAAAAATTGTTATCAACGTTTCTTCTACAATCCAGTAGTAATTCATCGTAAAGTAACTTACTTGAAAATTACGTGGTATTTTGATAACAAATGAGTTTTCACTGAACGTCCATTTAAATTCTTGTGTTTTTTCCTTGCTTTTTTTGTTATAAAATGTTAAGTATGTAAGATGTTACCATGTTTTTGTTTGATATTAACATAATATCGTATTATATTATTTTAAGGACGTCATTGATCCGGCAATGAACGGCGAATCAATTATATTGTATGTAATGTTAATTTTACCTGTTTTTTTTATTTAAGGAAGGGTCCAAACTTTGCCAGATAGAGTTCCATAATGTAGATAATGTGAATATAACTAAGTTATACACGGTCTGTACGTATGTATGTACATCGCTATCGTTGGGTTTTACACGTTTCACGGGCTGTATGGAGTGTTTTAAAGTTTTTACTCTCGTGTTCTTAGTTTTTATTGCTCAGAGTCGCGTGGGACGGCATGATTAATAGTATCTCGCTTTACTTCTAACTGAGATAGTCTCGACCGGTGCGAGTTATAACCGTGTGTTATCAACGAAAATTGTGATTTAATGAGTTGTTAACAAGTTCCCAACGAACATCGACCGGTCCCGATAGTATATGGTCTTATCAAAAAAATATAAAAAAAAAACTATCATTATATATTTTATTTAATTACCTTAATTATAATAAATATCTTCCGGTTCATCTTATGTGTTTCGAGTATTTTATTTGTTGGGTTATAATAAGTGACATGTGTAAAATTCAACGATTCTCAATAATATATAATATATAGGCTATGTTCTATCTTACTGAGTGGATGCATTTTATACATAAAGTTATATATATAAATAGATTTAGCATTTGTTTGTGTGTGTCGTGATGACACGAAAAACACGCTTGCACACTATTTTTGTACAATAAAAACGATAATGCCCTGAATAATTTTTGTTTTATTTGTTTTTCAGTGTTATATATGTTTTTAATGTCTAAGTTGTTCACGAATTGGAAGTCATTTATACATATATATTTCACAGCTCATGCGAACGTAGTTAAAATTCAAATGATTATATAGATTAAAATATTTATATAACTTATTCAATTTAAATGTATTAGGAAATATTGGTATAGAATCCAAGAAAATAATGGATAAGACGCTGTATGTTTCTATGAAAAACCACAACGATAATTTATCTTTTGTCTTATTGCGTTATAATTCCATCGAGTTTATATCTAGAGTATACAACCATAAACCTAGTAGCTTACAAAGAAGTTTAAAAAATGTTTAAAACCATGATGTAAACAACACAGCCATTTACGTAATTCTTTAGGCGACTTTCTATTGTCGAAAACACCTTATGCCTGATTACGTGCTGGCATTGTTACTAGTTTTTAACATACGATTTCGGCCGCTAATGACAAACACAATAAAAAATATTAATATATTTATATTCTTATAATGTTTGTTAAACGTTTGTACGAGATTCGGTCCCACGAGGATGATTATAGTTATCTTAATACTTAAATCACATTGTCTGTTTAGATAACGCCATCGAATACATTAAATAACAATAGTTTTAATACATACGTGATTATAAATTTATATATATTTAATTATGTTCTTTAGTTCATGTCATTTATTTGATGTATATAATTACAGTGGCTCAAAAACAAGCTGTTATCTTTTATGTTGATAACGTCTTTATCTGTTTCTTTAATTTATATATTTTTATTTATCTTGTTATTGCAAAACGATTTGTTTTATCGAATACAAGCAATCAGTTATATGTATATAGGTACACATTATCTCAGCTTCCGTTTCTACTGTTATGTTGAAGGTAATTTTTAAAAGAAACCAAAATTATTTTAACGACTCTAGGATAATTTCAATTATGAAATGATTCCATAATGTTTGATAGTTTTTTTTTTTTCATTTATAATTCTAGTAGCTACCGAATAAAAGTACATTTACTTGGCTAAGCTACTATAAAGATTATCTAAACGAAAGTGTTCTCGGTATAAATAAATGGGCGCGATTTATCAAGGACATTGTCGTCTCAGTGAGTTTGAATGTACTATTTTTTTTGTCTGCTTCTATTCAAGCATAAAATGGTATTACTACCGGTTTGTGTTGTAGTCGTAACAAACGTTCAAGTAAACTTTAGGTAAATATTCATTGTACCTGGTAATCTTGTAGATGTACAAACATATCAAGAGCTCGGTATTTATAACAATATTAGGACTTTAGTTTGCGTTGATCTTATCTTGTATGTTGATGGCACAGTCTGATTATGGACATTCCGTTTACTTTCTAGGATAAGCTTCTGAAGTAACCTAGTTTTTTATGTCTTAGTTGATATCTCTAGAAAAAATGATAAAACTACTGTGACTAATACAAGCAATGAATTTCCATGTCTTATATACGTTGACGCTTTTTAAAAATATTTTTTAAAGGATTTCTAATAAGCTATTATAATTAGAAATTTCCATTCAGTATGATAACATGCACTTTAATTACGGTTACTTGTGAACTAATTAATGGTTTGGCTTATGGTCATTAAGATGAAGAATTCTCTATAAATCTACATCAGATTTGAGCCGTCAAATCCTAATATACAATGCGATCCATTATTTCTTCAATATTGTTATATATTTCAGTCATTGGTAATGCCTAACTAAGTTGCGACGTTAAAATTTATTCGACATCCTTCCTCAAACTCTATACATATCTTATACCAAGACAACCACAGTTTAATGACATTTGTATCGTATAAAAACCACGATAATATTCAAATGCATTCAGTACATGAAATACACTTTAAGTAACTGCTGCTAGAGTATTTTATGTGTTTCATTTTGACATTTGCATCATGATGTCCCATTTAAGACTGACGTTTAGACACCTGGACTGATAATGACCAGGGATTCATGATACTCCAAGATGTCTCTAAGATATTAAAATACTAAAGATTAAATGAATAAACAAAGTTCATCAAGGATTTGTTTCTTAGAAACGTCAGGTCAGGCCAAGGCTCAATAGACAATTAATAATGAGAACCCCTAATAAATTATGCACATAACCCGACTGCGTACGTAAATTAATTTATTTTATGCAGATCAAACTGATATATTATACCGTACGGACCCTGGAATAACTCAAGGTTAAGTATGGAAACACACACGAATATTATTCTAAGTGCTTTGACGTAATTTTAATAGCTCTGCTGTTGTGAGTATGTTAAACGAGAAATAGTAACAAAGCAATGCACACGAGCATAAAGGACGCACGTGGTTATCGGCCTTGAGGACTGACTACTACAGACAACTACACATACATACATACATGTATAACATTAGCAAATAGTTTGTCTAGTTAAGTGATTCTAATAGTTATATGTACCACTATAGTATATAAAATATTATGTAAAAATTTATTTGATATTCATGCTCAAGATGCAAATTCCTACAAAAAATTATATCTAAAGTATTAATGACTTAACATATGGATGATCTAATTGATCTATTTTAATTATTAAATGATTATAATTTAAAAAAATCCTTGACTGATTTCTCAATAATATATAGATTAATGAAGATTTATGCGTTAGAAGTGTCACGTCTTATAATGCATGCCGGACAAATTAATTTATTCTCATTAAAGATGTTAAGCGGATAGAAATTTACCGTTGCATCGACTGGTATTCTTCGTTCGAATGTTTTTTTATTTTATTATTATATATTAAATTGAGTTATAAAAATGTTTATTGTATGTCTTAATGATTTGTAGATCTATGTTGTCTCAGGGTTGGTAGAAAGTTGATTTTGTATCCGTTGTACGGTTTCACTGGCGATTTCACTCGCGAAAGCACACGACGGGAATAGTCGTCTATTATAGTATAACTAGGGGCTTACTTACCGACAGCAATTAGTGATGACAGTTTTATATGAATAATATATATATTTATATTGATTATTAAAACTATACAAACTTTTACTTATGATTCTTTCCGGGATTTAAAATGTTCTAGCAGTGGTTTTTGTTAATTGAATGAAGATAACAATATTTAATTTAAAATGTTTTGCAAAAATAAAATGAAAAGTATCACATACGTAGATTTCCATTTTCACCTGAAAATACAAAAAGTTAATTATAATGTGAAAACAATTTATTTCCAAGTAACGGATATACATTTCAATTGTATGTATTTATTTTCTCTTTCATTATATTTTCATTTAAACGAAAACCATTTCTTTTATTTTAATTTTCA